TGCCCGAGACTCGATCGTCGATATCATCATACCTAGTTCAATCTTGTTACCGGCAAGTCTCTTTACTCATTCCGTTTTGCTTCATCCTGCAACTAACTCATTAGTTATATTGCTTGCAAGGCTTATAGTTATGTGCATTACCGAGAGGGCCTAGAGATACCTCTCCGATATACGGAGTGACAAATCCTAATTTCGATCTATGCTAACTCAAGAAACACCTTCGGAGACACCTGTAGAGCATCTTTATAATCACCCAGTTACGTTGTGACATTTGATAGCACACAAGGTATTCCTCCGGTATTCGGGAGTTGCATAATCTCATAGTCAAAGGAATATGTATAAGTCATGAAGAAAGCAATAGCAATAAAACTAGACGATCATAATGCTAAGCTAATAGATGGGTCTTGTCCATCACATCATTCTTTAATGATGTGATACCGTTTATAAAATGACAACGCATGTCTATGGTCAGGAAACTTAACTATCTTTGATTAACTAGCTAGTCAAGTAGAAGCATACTAGGGACACTCTGTTTGTCTATGTATTCACACATGTACTAAGTTTCCGGTTAATACAGTTCTAGCATGAATAATAAACATTTATCATGATATAAGGAAATATAAAATAACAACTTTATTATTGCCTTTAGGGTATATTTCCTTCAGTCTGGACAGGTCCAAATAACGTTGTATCCATCCCATGTTTGGGTTGTATTTACGAGACCTCCTAGTGGAGGCGCATTGGCGTCTAGTAGGGGAGGAGAGACCTGTACGAAGTTGATAATAGGCCGTCCCATTCTGGCGTGCTTAGTTACACAGGTTTGCCTTGCATTTTTTTCTCATTGCTTTTTCTGGAAAAAAAAGACCATTGGACTTGTTAAAAGTAATTCAAATAAAAAACTATTTCAAGAAACACAGGAAAAATATTGTGTATTTACAAAACTTTTATGTTTATTAGAAAGAAAGTTAACCGTATATTAAAAAAAGTTCACTATAAATAACAAATGTTCATTGTATATTAAAAATGGTCAGTATATATTTGAAAAATGTTTATTGTGTATAAAAAATATTCAGCATGTATTTAAAATATGTTATTGTATATTAGAAAATCTATACTAGTGTATAGTGTACCAGTTTTGAAGCATATGAGCTGCTTGATCTTTCCTATCGGACGGCTAGCATTCAACGGGTTGAAATCCTCAACAACGTGGCAGTTTACTTACCATTGGATTGTGTGGTCCAACGGCCAACATCCCTGGGATTCGTTGTAGGAGTTAGAGCATGTATAATGGTGGTATGTGGATACAGACGCCCCATGATAAAAAGTAGCATGAGGCGTCTATATTGACTTTTTCTCTTCAATGCTAGCTACTATTAGTGGACCTCATTAAATATAAAAAGTAGACTCTCACTACACATACATTCTTATTTTTTACTTCAATTTTTTCAGCTTTATGCACTGAACCATACTTTTTCTCCTCAAGTATCCGCCTCCTGCAGAAGATCCTGCTTCTTCAGCCGAACCTATTTTTTCTGACATCTGATCCTACATGGCGTAATGGGCATCATCCTAGAGCTATGCATTGTACATGCCATAAGTGTTGCACTGTCCCGCTGTGTCAGGTGGCGGGCTTTTGTTGAGTAAAAAACCACTGCACCTTGGACCATGGCAATGCCTACGGAGCAGAGCCCGCACAAAATATTAAAAAATCGACGTGCTCCCCTGAGTTAAAGGGAATGATGTAGAGGGTTCGATACAATTTGCCTCAAAAGGAAAATCTACAAAGAAACAATAGAAAATGCATGTAGGCATGAAAGAAAGTGTACCACAAATTTAACAAGTCCAGATGCATGTCCTGATAAAAACAGTCTGGATGCACATGTCCTTGCAAGCTTAAAACACTAGATTATTAAATATTGTGCATGTAGAAAATAAACAAGAACCTTAAAAAAATAAAATAAATTTAAATTGTATTTTGAAAAAAAAATCTATTCTCTCCATTCCAGAACTTTTATTTCCTAATGAGCCGAGTTACACACAGTGAGGCCCTAAAAAAATTATAGATCTAGCCAATTAGTGCATCTACCTGATGCCTATTGAAGGTAGAGTATATGTGCATTACCCAATGTCCTGATTTTGTTACTACACAAAGATGTCACATCTATTTCTCCAGCAAAAAAAACATGTCACATCTATTTTTGATGGCATAGTTTTAAGTGATAAATTATTATGAAATTATGAAAAGTATTCACTGCTAAGTTTTCTTAATGCAATTAATGACCAGTTGACAATTGAATCCAAAATTTCCCATTATTTGATTATCCATAGTAGTGCGGAAAGAAAGCCTGGAGTAAGAGTGTCGTTGAGTTTCTCACCCCTTTGGCCAGTTGGCACTACATGCGAAACATGTGCTGTTTGCTAGTATTTATAGTACATAAACCTTTAAGAAAGAAAACAAGGAAGAAAAACCAAATCTAAAAAGCAAAAAACAAAATAAAATTAGAAAGGAAAACCCAAACAGAAAACCCAAACGGAAATCACAGAAGAAGAAACCAAATAAAAAAACGCAGCACCATGAATCAAACGGAGCAACTGCATGCAAAAACATAAAAACTGGGCTGGCCCACATGTAGTATTATTTATGACGGCCCAGACAACCCATAGAAATATGGACCGTTTGGGCCTTTGCGGAGGCATGTTAGGACAGACAGCACAATTTTCTCTGCGCGTGTTTTTTTCTTCTTCAGATTTTGCTTGATTTTCCCTAGATTTCTTGAAGAAAATATGATCGTTTGGGCCTTTGCGGAAGCACGTTGTTTGAAAGCACAACTGTGCTTTATAATGAAGCACACAAACTGTGCTTCTTGAAAAGTGAAAAGTATTCACAAACTATACTCCCAACAAGTGAATAGCACAGTTTTGCACTGCGTGTGAAAAAAGTGTGCTTCTAATAGAAGTGAAGAGCAAAATGTGCCTGCGTGTGAAGCATAGTTGTGCTTCAGGTTAGTTTTAAAAAAATAGTTGTGCTTCTGGTTTCCGTTTTTCTGTTCCAGCTCTTTTTGGTTTATGTTTTTTCTAAATCATCCAAACCCATTAACGTGGGATTTAGTTCATAGATCTCGATGTGAGAAACGCAGTGATGAAAAAAAATCATGATTTGAACGCATAGTTTAAATGATAAAATGTTTTAAAGGAATCTAAAAAAAGCTCAGAACTCTCGGATTGTGACAAATGTCACGCATACAACGCGCCACTTGTCATCACCAAAGAAGATGAGAATGAATTTTACAAAGGAATACTTTTAACTAGTGATTTCGAAATATGGCAGGTTTGGGGTCACCAGCGCGCCACAAATGGAAGCAGCAGACGTCGCAGCAGCTAGATTCGAAGAGCACCGCATCCGATTGGCATCTTTTTTATACACCCGCAAAAAAAGAAAGGTGTATGTCCGCGGGCGCGCCCGGCGTCCAGCCATTCGGCACCTGCGCCGCGCCGCACACAAACAACAGAACCCGTCGCTGCGGGAAATCTGAGTGAGTCCCATACGGGGCCCAATGGTGTCATGATCTCGACAGCGACAAACGGCGACGACGAACAACATAGCCCCTTCCGCCCGTTATCACTGGCTGCCATGCACGCACTTTACGACCCAGTAAACCGCCTGCAACAGCATCGGTCAATCAGTCATCACCCGTGCATCCGGATGCTGCGTTCATCGCGATCTATTTATAGTGAACGAGCTGCACCACAATGTCACCACCAAGATCACATTGCCATTCCACAGAACCAAACACCAGGCCGGGAGCAACTCGCGTAATGGCATCGGCTCGCTCCGTGATGCTCCACGTGCTGCTGCTCGCGGTGGCCCTCGCCGCGGCGCCGGCCGTCCTCTCGGACCCGTCGCCGCTCCAGGACTTCTGCGTGGCCGACCTCAAGGCCGCCACGGCGGTCGACGGGTTCCCTTGCAAGGCGCCGTCGACGGTGGAGGACGACGACTTCTTCTCCGACGCCATGGTCGCCGCGCCCAGAACCGACACCAACCCCTTCGGCGTCAACTCCACGCGCGCCACCGTGTCGGTCTTCCCGGGCCTCAACACGCTGGGCCTCTCCATCACGCGCACCGACCTCGCCGTGGGCGGCCTCAACCCGCCGCACTCGCACCCTCGCGGCTCCGAGCTCGTGCTGGTGCTCAAGGGCGAGGTCATGGTCGGCTTCACCTCGGCGACCAACCGGCTCTTCACCAAGGTGGTGAAGGAGAACGAGCTCTACGTCGTGCCCCGCGGCCTGCAGCACTACCAGCTCAACGTTGGCACCGGCGACGCCGTGTTCATGGCCATGTTCGACGCCCAGTCGCCGGGCCTGGTCACGCCCACGCTCGCGCTCTTCGCGACCGAGCCGGCCATGCCCATGGAGGTGCTCACCAAGACCTTCCTCATGGGCGAAGATGATGTCACCGCCATGAAATCCAAATTCGCCGGCTTCTGACACTGAATATTGGCGGGGGTTCAGCTGCTAATGCAATCCGCTGCAGTATCCGTATTCGTTTCAAGAGCGTGCGTTTGTTGCTGTCTCTGTACCCGACTTGTGTGAGATCGTTTTGTGTCTCCGTGTGCACTCGCAAGAACAAGTTACGGTTGTGTTTTTAACTCCCTCCGATCCAATGCAAGTGTCGTAGTTTTGCATTTTAAACTGCAAGGTTGTGTCTCCGTGTACATGACCATGTTCACCAGGATGACAAAATGGGTGCACATCACAGTAGTACTGTGAATAGGATTACAGAAGAGACACTAGGATTCCAACTTTATTAAATTGTGAACACGGAAACAAGCATGGAAGGGAGGAGTCAGGAATGCTTCATTGGGCATTTGTCTAGGTCCTGACAAGTTACAACCTCCACGAGGTGAGCTAATTTAGAAACCAAAGTGGCGACAGATGGCCACGTCGAAATTAAACTACAGCTTAGAAAGATACATCAGGGTCGCCTTGACAATGGCACACGATTAGTAATCCCTGGTCCCGGGCTTGTACGTGCTGGTGTCCTTGGCGGGGACGTCGGTGCTGCCGTTGGTGCCGCCGCCCATTCCGATCGTGTTCATCACGGCGTCCTTCGCCCCCACCGCCGCGCCCTTCACCGTCTCCCCTGCCTGCACACAAAAACCACACAGGGTCATCTCTAGAACGTCTGCTGCAAGAATGTGACAAGAGATCTTTCCCCTAAGAAGAAAAGAATGTAACAATGTACCTGCACGAGGAGGCTGCCGGTCTTGTCCTTGCCGGCGACGGCGGTGTCCATGGCATACTGCGCGGCCGCGCCGGCCTTCTGCTTGGCGGCCTCGGCCGTCTGCTCGATGTAGCTCCCGGTCTGCTCGGTGCCGGCACGGGCCGTGTCGATGGTGTACTGGGCGGCGCCGGCCGCCTTCTGCTTGGCGGCCTCGGCCGTCTGGGCGATGTAGCTCCCGGTCTGCTGCGCGGTGCCGGCGGCCTTGTCCTTGGCCTCGCAGCCCTTCTCCTTGGTGGCCTCCGCGGCGCCGCGGCCCTTGTCCATGGCGCGGCCGGTGGCGTCCGACGCCGCGTCCTTGGCCTCGTACGCCTTCTCCTTGGTCGCCTCCTTGGCGTCGCCGCCCCTGCCCATGGCACGGCCCGCGGCGTCGGACGCCGTGTCCTTGGCCTCCCTCGCCTTGTCCTGCGCCGCGCCCACGACGTACCCCGTCTTCTCCCGCAACGCACGCACCAAAACCACAGTGTGAGTACATGTCAAAGCCGACACGCCGACAGGGCGGAGCAAGCACGAAACTGACCTCGGCGCGGGCCTTGGCCTCCCCGGCGTGGTAGCTAGCCTGATCCTGACGAGAAGCCATGTCTTCGCAAGCTAAGGTAGGATTGGATCGAGCGGCACGAACGCAAAACTGGATGGGGCTCGAGAAGTGTATAGAAAATAGAACTGGATAGGGCTCGAAAAGTGTACAACGTAGGTTGATTTTGGAAGTTGGCGATGCTAGATGCTTTGCTGTTGTGACGAGCAGCTTGATCGGCTGGTGTCTTTATAGCGGTTGAGCTGGGAGAGATGCCCGGGCACGTGGCGCGCAGGCGCATGTAGATGGGCGCCACGTTGGTAGGACACGCGTTGTGAAGAGCGGGGAGTTCCCAGGTGTCCGCATTTGCCTGGCTCAAACTGATGCAGCGGGAGAAAAGAATTGCGAAAAGCACGAAGGAAGGAGGACACGGTGGGTTATGGGCTCGTGCATCGAAGTGAGTTGGTGCCCAACGCTCTTGAATGGTGGTGATGGGATCGGTCATTTTTACGCGGCTGTGAATTCGCCACATCGAGCCCTTTTCTTCCTTCACTTCGCTCGGGTGGTCGGTGGCTCGTATGTGGTCTTCTTGGGCTTGGTATCAAGACCAGTTTTTTTTGGCGATTTTCTCGGAATCGTCACTATATATATTTTTTACAATTCTATTTAGTTAAAATTTAATTAGCTAGGATTATAAAAAACATATGGAGTGGCGATTCTGGGAGAAGCTGGGGAGGGGAGCGATTCTGGTAGAATCGTCCAAAAAAACTGGCTCTCAGTCTGTACTGTGTCCTGTATAAAATAGCATTAGGCCTTCTTTAAAGCAACTTTAGCAGACCATGTATATCTCGTGAACCCGCAAAATTTTAGCAAGTATACGGGCTCGGCCCAATTTTCTGGACAGAACAAAGCCCGTATACTCGTCCAGCCCGAGAAAAATTTACCGCGCCCCGCAGACCACCTCTCGGAGCAGTATATCAACGGGTTTGCGGGGTAGATACTGGTCGAAACCCTATCCCCCACCATTGCGTTTCGTCGCAATTCCTCACTTCCTTCCTCGCATTTCTCGCGGCCCATGAGCCCGTGATACGTCTCCAACGTATCTATAATTTTTGATTGCTCCATGCTATATTATCTACTGTTTTGGACTATATTGAGCTTTATTTTCCACTTTTATATTATTTTTGGGACTAACCTATTAACCGGAGGCCCAGCCCAGAATTACTGTTTTTTTTTCTATTTCAGTGTTTCGGAGAAACAGAATATCAAACGGAGTCCAAACGAAATAAAATCTTCGGGAACATGATTTTCTCACCAAACGTGATCCAGGAGACTTGAACCCTACTCCAGGGGGTCAAAGAGGAGGTCACGAGGGTGGGGGGCGCCCCCCTGCCTCGTGGGCCCCTCGGTGCTCCACCGACGTACTCCTTCCTCCTATATATACACACGTACCCTCAAACGATCAAAACAGGAGCCAAAAACCTAATTCCACCGCCGTAACTTTCTGTATCCACGAGATCCCATCTTGGGGCCTGTTCCGGAGCTCCGCCGGAAGAGGGTCGTCATCACGAAGGGCTTCTACATCATCATAGCCTCTCCGATGAAGTGTGAGTAGTTTACCTCAGACCATCGGGTCCATAGTTGGCTTCTTCTCTCTCTTAGAATCTCAATACAAAGTTCTCCCCCTCTCTTGTGGATATCTATTCGATGTAATCTTCTTTTTGCGGTGTGTTTGTTGAGACCGATGAATTGTGGGTTTATGATCAAGTCCATCTATGAATAATATTTGAATCTTCTCTGAATTCTTTTATGTATGATTGGTTATCTTTGCAAGTCTTCTCGAATTATCCGTTTGGTTCGGCCAACTAGATTGGTAGTTCTTGCCATGGGAGAAGTGCTTAGCTTTGGGTTCGATCTTGCAGTGTCCTTACCCAGTGACAGAAGGGGCAGCAAGACACGTATTGTATCGTTGCCATCGAGGATAACAAGATGGGGTTTATTTCATATTGCATGAATTTATCTCTCTACATCATGTCATCTTGCTTAAGGCGTTACTCTGTTTTTAATTTAATACTCTAGATGCATGCTGGATAGCGATCGATGAGTGGAGTAATAGTAGTAGATGCAGAATCGTTTCGATCTACTTGTCACGGACGTGATGCCTATATACATGATCATGCCTAGATATTCTCATAACTATGCTCAGTTCTGTCAATTGCTCAACAGTAATTTGTTCACCCACCATAGAATACTTATGCTCTTGAGGAAAGCCACTAGTGAAACCTATGGCCCCGGGGTTTATTCTCATCATATCAATCTCCATCACTTTAATCTTGCTTTGCTTTTACTTTGCCTTTACTTTTTACTTTGCATCTTTATACCAAAAATATTATATCTATCAGATCTCACTCTCGTAAGTGACCGTGAAGGGATTGACAACCCCTAATCGCGTTGGTTGCGAGTAGCTATCGCTTTGTGCAGGTACGAGGGACTTGAGCATGGCCTCCTACTGGATTGATACCTTGGTTCTCAAAAACTGAGGGAAATACTTACGCTACTCTGCTGCATCATCCCTTCCTCTTCAGGGAAAACCAACGCAAGATCAAGACGTAGCAAGAAGGATTTCTGGCGCCGTTGCTGGGGAGTCTATGCAAAAAGTCAACATATCAAGTACTCATCACAATCCCTATCTCTCGGATTACATTAGTTGCCATTTGCCTCTCGTTTTCCTCTCCCCCACTTCACCCTTGCCGTTTTATTCGCCCTCTCTTTCCCAATCTCCTCCCTCTCTATTTGCCTCTTCTGGCATGTTTGCTTTTTGTTTGCTCGTACGGTTGGAATAGTCATTTATTTATTACTAATCATAGAACCTAAGATTTATGGATCCTCATCCGCTTGCTAATCTTTTTAAGAGATCCAGTTATGTTGAACCAATTGCTAGTGAGTTTTGTGCACTAGATTATCTTTATGAAGTTTTGCTTGAAATTCGTGAATCTGAAGATTGCAATGAAGTATGTTATGAAGTGATTCACGATAGATCTTTGAATAAAAAGCAAGATTGCAATGATGTTATTATAAATTCTATTAATGATAACTGTGCTAATAATATGCAAAACCTTAAGCTTGGGGATGCTAGTTTTGTTATGTCCTCTACTTGTTGCAATGATCATGATTGGGGTGATTCTTCTTTTGATCTTGGAAATTTATTTAAACCCCATGATGAATATGAGATTGATTATAATGTTTGCAATAATATTGAAAGTGGGTTTGGAAGAATGTCAACTTTAGATCCCACATATTTAGAGAATGTTCAATCTTATGAAGTTTTGATAAAAGTGCGTTTGGGAAGGTCATGACTTTAGTTAATGTTAATCCCCTATTTCGAAAAAGTGCCAACTTTGCATGCATGTGGATCATGTTGAGAATATTTTATGTGATAGCTATATTGTTGAATTTTCTTATGATCTTACATGTAATTACTATGAGAGAGGAAAATATGGTGGTAGAAATTTTCATGTTACTAAATTACCTCTCGTTATGTTGAGATTGCTATTGTTTCTTTCCTCTTCCTTGCATATGCTAGTTTTTGCTTGCCTTGATAATTTGTTTGCCTATAAGATGCCTATGCATAGGAAGTATGTTAGACTTAGATATGTTTGTCACATGCTTTATGATGCTCCTTTTGTGCTTCAATTCCTGTCTTTCATGTGAGCATCATTAAAATTATCAATGCCTAGCTATAAGGCTTTAAAGAAAAGCGCTTGTTGGAAGACATCCCAATATTTTTCCTTGCTGTTATTTAATAAATAAATTATTTAGCCTCTGTTTTGGTTGTGTTTTTTGTGTTTAATTAGTGTTTGTGCCAAGTAGAACCGTTGGGAAGACTTGGGGAAAGTCTTGTTGAACTTACTGTAAAAAACAGAAACTTTAGCGCTCACGAGAACTGCTGTAATTTTTATTTGAAGAGTGCAATTTATTTAATTATTTTTGCAGATGATTAGTAGATAAATTCCTCACGTCCAGCAATTTATTTTAGAATTTTTGGGGTTCCAGATCTTGCGCTATCTACAGATTACTACAGACTGTTCTGTTTTTGACAGATTCTGTTTTTCGTGTATTGTTTGCTTATTTTGATGAATCTATGGCTAGTAAAATAGTTTATAATCCATAGAGAAGTTGGAATACAGTAGTTTTAACACCAATATAAATAAAGAATGAGTTCATTACAGTACCTTGAAGTGGTCTTTTGTCTTCTTTCGCTAACGGAGCTCACGAGTTTTCTATTTTGAGTTTTGTGTTGTGAAGTTTTTAAGTTTTGGGTGAATTCTTTTGATGGATCATGAAACAAGGAGTGACAAGAGCCTAAGCTTGGTGATTCCCATGGCACCCCCAAGATAATCCAAGGACACCAAAAAGTCAAAGCTTGGGGATGCCCCGGAAGGCATCCACTCTTTCGTCCACTTCCATCGGTAATTTACTTGGAGCTATATTTTTATTCACCAACACGATATGTGTTTTGCTTGGAGCGTCTTGTATTATTCGTCTCTTTGTGTCTTAGTATGCCACAATCATCCTTGCTGTACACACATTTTGAGAGAGCCGTACATGAATTAAAATTTGATAGAATACTCTATGTGCTTCACTTATATCTTTTGAGCTAAGTAGTTTTGTTCTATGTGCTTCACTTATATCTTTTGAGCGTTATAATTTTGCTCTATGCGCTTCACTTAGATCTTTTAAAGCACGGTGGTCGATTTGTTTTAAAGAAACTATTGATCTCTCATGCTTCACTTAAATTATTTTGAGAGTCTCTTAATAGCATGGTAATTTGCTTAATAATAATATGCTTGGTATTCAAGATTTGTGAAACTTTCTTTTGAGTGTGTTGAATACTAAGAAAATATTGAAGCATGATAATTGTTTTGAGATATGGAGGTGATAATATTAAAGTCGTGCTAGTTGAGTAGTTGTGAATTTAAAGAATACTTGTGTTAAAGTTTGTGATTCCCGTAGCATGCACGTATGGTGAACCTTTATGTGATGAAGTCGGAGCATGATTTATTTAT